TTTTCAGTTTCCCCCAAGGACATACGGTTGTCAGGACTAGAAACTTGGGCTAAGTTTATACAAAGAATTTGGGATTCCCCTTTGCTGATTTTTCTTCCAGGGTCCCCCCTCTCTCTACAGTGGCTACTATTGCCTCAGGCTCCTTCCCCAGAAAGACTACAGACTTTCTTACTTGAGTTTTGGCCAACCCTAAGGCATCCTCTACTGCAACTGCAGCTGACCTCAAGACAAAGCCACAAAAATTAGTCCCTCACTCCATGCCTGTTGCCTGCTCTAATTTTCAATGCCTGTCCAAAGCCTACCTGCTTTTTGCATAGTCTCCCATGCCCTCAACTGTATGTTAAGAATTTTGTCCAGTTTGTAACCTTTATCTGTATAATAATCCATTTGTTAGGTTTGTTAGGTGCTTGATTCTCCAGGCTGGACACAGAACCTTAAGTAACAAGTTCAATAAGCCAAATTGTCATTGGAATTTCTCTTGACTAGTACAAATCTGTCTTTTGCACTCCTACTATCACCTTAATTCTGCTTTATTCTTCTTTATAAAACTTATCACTACCTGATGTATATATTTGTGTATGGTCTTTCCACTAAAATAAAAGCTCGATGAGAGTAGGATCTCTATCTTTTCTGCTGTGGTGTGGACTGAAAACCTTAGCACCCAGCAAAAAGGGGGAAATCAGGGAAGTGGGAAAGTGTGTGCACCAGGAGGGACCATCTCAGCAGGTAGGCTGATGCACAGCTGATCTTCCTTTTTAGACACTTCCTTGTGCTAGCCCTTTAAAGAACTCACTAGGCTAGTTATTGTGATTTTAACCACTGGGTGACGCTGCCCACTAAATTTCCTAAGATCTAGTCAGACTAGAACTGCTTTGCAGTGGCTGCAACCCCTTTTACCTTCCAGGACCTGGCTTAAAATGCCAGTTCCGCGGAGACATTTCCCTGCCCTGACCACCTGACTCACAGCCAGAAGGGCTCATCACATTGACTTCTGCACATCCCTCTGCCCACCTCCCAGGCCTTTGTGTGAATTTCATGAACAGACATTTAGTGAAGCCCGCTGGGGTGCAAAGGGTAAATTGGAAGTGGTGGTCCCTGCCCTCTGAGGGTCCGCTGGGGTCAAATACATGCATGGGATGTAATGGATTAACTTTTCCTCCTTTGCATCTAGGATGGTGCTAGTCATGTATCATCCTTGGGAGAACTGAGAACATAGTCACTCAAGTCATCTGTGTTCTGTGGTTCAGATGAGAAACCTGACATTACAGAGCCTGGAGGACAAGGCTCCTTCCTGGGAGGAATGCACGGAGGGAGGAGGGGAGTTCTGGGTGTGTGGTCAGCGGGGAGCTGTGCTAACTGTGCTCACAATCGACTTCTTGATCCTGTCATGACTCGGCTCCTTTTCTGCCAGCTACTCCTTCTCTTGTAATCAGCAACGTGGGTTCTGAGAACTGTCATCTTGCTTTACCAGTGAGAACCTGCTAGGCGCAAGCCTTTCTTTCTCTTGGAGGGGAGCCCGTAAGAATAGAATCTCTGCTGTGACATGAGATGAGGCCCGGTACCGGGCACTTCATGTATGTCAACTGATGTGATTCTCCTAATAACCTGCAACTGTGGGTGTTTAGTCTCTGTTTTGTAGAAAGGAAATGTAAAGCTCAGAGAGGCTGAATACTTGGCATAACAGCACACAAACGTGATCCAAATTCTTTCATCTTAAAAAACCCTCTGTTAAGATCCTACTGCTTCTGCTTCTGCCCTAAATTTTGTTTTCCTTCACAGAAAGACTCTTAGAAGAGCTGCCTATGTAGAGTCCTGGTCCCTACTTCCACAATCCCCTCTTTTTCCTACTCTCTGCGGTTGGGCTTCTATCCTACCTTCCACTGGGAGTGTCTCACCAGCTCACTTCTCATTGAGGTCACTGTGACCTACATAGATCAAACCCAATGGCCATGTCCTGTTCTCCCTTTATCTCTTGGCAGCACTCATCACGTTTGCTATTCCCTCTTGAATACTTTTCTTCTCTTGGCTGTCAGATTGCCACACTCTCCTGATTTCCTGCAGTCTCACTGGCTACTCCTCCATTCCATTTATGTGCTACTTCTGCTCTGTTCTACTTCTAGATGTTTGAATGCCCCTGAGCTTGTTACTTATTACCCATTCTGTCCTTTTCCCAGCTGACTCCGGCTGTCCTATGGCTTTGTATCCCCAGCTTGAACTTCTGCTGGCATTCCAGACTCACATAGCCAGCTCCCTACCCAGCATGGCCACGTGGAGACCTAACAAGCGTCTCAGAATGAACATGGCCCAGACAGAACTCCTAATTCCACCGCCCAGCTTGCCTTTTCCGCAGACTTCCCTATTTCTATAAACTGTACCAACACGCACCTAGTTGCTTAAGCCCAGATCCTTCTCAGCATGTCTTTTCCCTTCTATCCGCCAAACAGCTCCTTAATCTGCTCACTTTCCTGTACCTCCACCCCTTCTCCCTGGTCCCAGCCACTGTTACCTATAGCCTGGACTGATGTAGGTGTGTCCTAACTGATTTCTCTTGTCCCCCAGTAATCCATGTACGCATAGCAGTCAGTGTTTTTTAAATATATAAGTCAGATGACCTTACTTGGCTGCTTAGTGGCTTCCCACCTCCCTTGAAATAAATTACACATTCCTTACTCTGGCTTATGAAGTCCTCCTGAGCTGCTTCTGTCTTTCTAGCTTCTCAAGCTGTTTTCCTTTTCATCCTCCATCCTCCAGCCACACTGCTCCCAAGTACCGAGCTGGTTCCTGCCCTGGGCTTTTACACTGGTTGTCCCCTCTCCCTGGTCCTCACGTGGCTGATTTGCTCCGATCACTTAGCTCTCAGGTTTGCATGTCACCTCCTCGGTGAGACCTTCCCTCGCCACTCCAGCTAAAGTCATGTCCCTGGCTCTCCTTCAGGAGGCTGTTACTGATCTGACAAATACCTGAGAGCTGCTTGGGGCTGTTTTCATTTCCCCAGTTCTACAGTCTAGGGGAATCCAAAGCACCCATAAGGCTTCTGTGAATCCCCCAGGACATAGTTCACATTTCCCAATCTCTAATTCCTTCTGCCAGGGGTGCTGGCCCTGTCTCACATCTGTGTCCACCTTGATGGTGACTGTCTCCCTCATCACTTTCCCCCAAACCACTGACATCAGGGATTCTGGGAGCTAAGTAATCAGAGTGTTTTGAAGGCTACAGGGAGCGGGGAGGCCCTGCTGTTCACTGCCTGCTCTCAGGCCCCTCTCTCTACTCTCCTCTGGCTCTCAAAGGCAAAACAGTCTTTCCTCTTGGTCCACACAGAGCAACTCAGCCCCTGCCCCTGAAGTCCTGGCTCCAGTCTGTCACCCCGCCCTGGGGGAGTTTTCTGCCTTGGCTGGGGTTATTGACACATTTTCTTAACAGGTTGTTTCCTCCATCAGAGGGATTCTTGTTTTAGCTGCAGAGAGAATTAACACTTTATCTTTATATATATTAAATATATTATATGTATAAAATATTTATCATATATTTAATATATAATGTAATAATATTATATATAGAAATATCTATATATAAATAATTAAACCATTTAAAAAATAATGCTTGTCCCAGACTCTGTGCCAGTGGTTGGGGACTGTCACCACAACCCTGAAGAAATTAGTTCCTTTTTGCAGATGAGGAAACAGAGCTCAAAGAGGTAAAGGCCATTGCTGATCAATACCAGGCTCTGGAGAGATTAGAGTCTCTTTCTGCATCTGCCCATTGCTTGTTCAAAGTCTTCTTGGCAGGAATCAGAGGAAAGCTGAGCGGAGGCCAGGCTCTCAGGATCCAGGCCATGGGAAAGGAGGCCCTCGGGTCTTGAGCTATTGCTCTTGCTGTCAGATGTACCCGATGTTCCCCATTCTCATACAAGCCTCAGGCTCGTGTCGGAGGGTTCTTTTACTTAAAATATGGACCCAGTTCTAATGGCAGATCTGCGGGTGGCTGGTAGTGTGTCCTCGGGCAAGTCAATCTCCTTTTCTGGACTTTAGTTCCCTTGTCTTTACAATCAGGGAAACTCCTTTCTGCCCTACAATGTATGGTCCTACAGTAAAGTCAGCTACTGGAATAATAAGGCTCATCCACTGAGCATTTACTTTGTGCTAACTATTCTTTTAATCCTTTCAACTTCAGGAGGCTGTTACTGATCTGACAAATACCGAAACTGAGACTTAGTATGTGTTAGCAGTTGCCCTGTGTCCTGTGGTAAGTGACAGAGTTGGGATCTGAACCTAGATTTGCCTGTCTGAATTTGGAGCCAGTGCTTTTAAGCTATTGCATTAACTGTGTCCCCCAAATACTAGTTTAGGCTGCCGACAACTCTCACTGGTCACTCACACACATGTGCATACACGTGGGTGCTCTCTTATGCAGAAATGCATGCTCATATAGCCCATTTCAGAAGGCCATTCTAAAGGCCAAATAATATTTCTTATAGGCCTGAGGACGCCTGATCATCTGGGTTGTGTTCTCATGGTATATTAGATGTCTGGGCAGAGAGGGGACAGTGCAGCCAGACCTCTTGCCAAACAGGTAAAATGCTGTTTATACTACCCAGAGTACTTCCTCATTTTCTTCTCTTGCTGTCCTGACCACTGGTTTCCCCTGTTGCTGTGTGTGCCCTCTGCCCACACTGAGCCAACCCTTTCTCTGACATAGGAGGGAAAACAACCCACTGTTACTATTCTAGGCCTTATTTTCTGCCCTCTCTCAATTAATCACCTACGTTCTACAAGGCAGACAGTCACGTAAGCTGTTAGGATGTAAAGCTGATGTGGGTGAGGTCTTCGCTTCAGGATAAGCAGGGCTGAGAGACCCCTGTGTGTGACAATGAGGAAGTCCTTTTTGGGGATGTGGTGTGTGATGTGTGAAGCTGGGCATCTATCTACCTTGAAAAGACTAGGAATAGCCCTCTTCAAAAACAACTGAATGCCCATGAGAAAAGTACTTCTGGTTCTGAACCATTAGGAGTTTCAGGCAAGTTTTATATTATTTGCTGGGATGGGGATTTGACTTTGTATACAGACTTTCAATTAGGTCTTCAGACTGACATCTCAACATTGAATTCTTCTGATGGACCAAAGAAAGAAAAATAATAACATTTCCATTCCAGCTTGCCAAGATCCTGGGCCTGGCTGTGCTTCCTGTTTTCAGCCCCTTCCTGTCCTGTAGGCCTTTGAACTCTGGTTCCCTGATATTGACCCTGGTGTTGGCTAAGGACTTTGAAACTTCCTGCTGCCTTGAGTGTACACACACTTGTTCTGGCCCCTGGGTCGATCTAAGCCCTACCACCTCTCCACGTCCACTCTGGCTTCTGCAAGCAAAGGTTTGGGCCTAACTACGTTATATTTGTTGGTGATTGTGCTGTCCCTGGGCAGTGAGCTCCTGGGGAGAGAAGACGGATCATACTGAGCTGTAACACCTCAGCTTTGATAACAGGAAGGGTGGAGAGAAATTCCTGGGTCAAGAAGCAGGACCTCCTAGTCCAAGAGATTCTAAAGCAGGTAGCACTGGCCTGCTGTAGAGGGCCAAGGGCAGGAAGCTCGTGGGTTAGAGCCTCAGGCCCTTACCTGCCTTTGAACCCCTGCCTGGCTGACATGGGTATTGATGGGTCATTGTGCAAATCAAAATGCTTTTGGTGCAAGTAACAGAAACCAAGACCTGCTAATTCTGGTTAATGTTAAGAAAAAGGGAATATTCAAATGTCTATTGATGGATAAGTGAACAAACAAAAATGTGGGAGATATCTACAATGAGATATTATTCAGCCTTAAGGGGGAATAAAGTCGGACACATGAGACAACATTAATCAACTCTGAAGACATTATGCTATGTGAAATAAACTGGTGGCTTAGGGTGGGACTAGAGGTCAACAGCTCCTGTTTTGTTTCAGCATTCTCTGTAGCCAGGCTGTCCAGGGGAAGACCAAATACTGAGGGATCAAGCAAAACTTGGTAGCGAGGGGAAAAATTGTTAGCATGTGCCTATTCCTACCCTGCCCTGCTAAGAAAGGTTTACATTTAAAGGAAAAGAATATTGTAGGGAAAAAAAGAAGTCTAGAGAAGGGATAAGGATAAAGTCAAGAGTTCTGTTGGCTCTTAATAAGTGAGAGGCCAGTAATAGTCTGGCTGTTGGAGGCTGTGGACATAATTATTTCGAATGGCTGGTGTATGGTGTGAGGTGTGGAACTGGAAGCAGTGCAATGAGAAGAATGTGAAATAATGTTTTTCTGTGTGTTAAGAATGTATCTCTGCCCACCTCCCTTAACTTTGGCATTTCTTCCAGAGAGTAAGAACATATTTGAAATACTTTTAATCATATCCTGGACCACTGGCCCACTTCTCTGAATGTGGCTGTCATTCATACTGCAAAGCTGCCCATGTTTTTGCAGGGTTATGCTTTTCTTTCCCAAACCTGGGTTTCTACTGAGGCCTACTGGTCATGGGGAGTTGAAGAGGTGGGGTTAGCCTTTGACTGATCTAATAGTAATAACTGGGGCCAGGTTCCTGGGGGGCAGCAAAGGTAGGTTGGGATCTTTGATGTAATCTTGGACCCATTTGTCTTTGGGGTTCGTGCAGATCTCTCGGTTCTTCTTGGTAACAAAGCTGTGGAGGCAGATGAAGTTAGACCATCATGGGCCATGGAGTCAGGTGGGGGTCCAGTCCACACTCCCCCACTTCTAGCTTATACAGGGCTTGCCTCATGCTCTTTACCACGTCCCTAGGCCTCCGCCACCTGTGTCTCCATGGAGAGCCTCCCCCTCTGGCCTCTTCTTCCAGCCCTTTCCCCCGACAGCCCAGATCCTCCAGCTAGGATTTCATCATGCCTGCCATTCATTGGGCCGTGCAGCTCCAAGTGGCAAAATCAAGAATTACATCCAGGCCTGTACTGAGAGAGTCAAAGCCCAAGCCTTTAACGGCTATTCCCCTGCCTCCAGCATGGAGACTTCTTGGTTCAGGGCATCCCAGTCCGGCTCCACGTTCCCCTTCCCTTTCCACAAAAATATCTACAGGGAAGTGCTTACATGATTGCTGGCAAGTAACAGTTGAGGGCCTTTCTGTATCCCACCACCAGTTTCTTTGGCAATACTTTCTCATGGTACTTCAGGCAGCAGGTGGACGGCGAGTTCACCGACTCAGGAATTCCTGAGGGAATCACATTGGAAGCTGGGACATGGAGGCAGAGAGGGAGCCATCGCTGCCCACCTCCATCTCCCACTGCATTCCACTCCTCTGATGGCAAAGCCATCTGTTAGAAGGGTCATATGATAGCTCGATGGGTAACAAAGAAAATGAAAAGATGAACTTCTTTGGGGGAAATAGCTGGAAAACCTTCAGCCTCTGAACTGAGTTTCAGCGAGTACAAATGACTCGGTTAGTCACATTTGCTGATGAACCAGGACTTGGCGCACATGTGTTGAGCTCATATTACCTTCTAGGCTCCACGGGGGTAAGAACATGAGGAAGACACAGTGACAACTCTTAAGTACCTTATAGCCTAGTCAGGGTGCAAAGGAGAAAGTGAAAAGATAAATACTACAACGTCGTTGGGGATAGAATTTGGCAAAGGTGCTATGGAAATAGAATGAGGGGCACCTAGCCCAGCATGGGTGGTTGGGGAAGACATCCCACAGCATGTGGGCCTGAGTTGATTCCCAACACACAAAAATGACGGGTAGGATTTAGATAAACAAAAGGGATGTATGATCTGAAAGAAAGAAATGTGTGAAGGTCTGAAGGTGCGGGAAACTCTGTGTGTCTGAGGAGAACTGAGTAGCTGCAGATGGAAACGAGAAGGAAAAAGGAATAAGGGATGAAACTGGAAAGAGGGCAGGGCCACCACACCTTCTGAGTGGGCGTAGGAGTCTGGACTCTCCTGGAGGCATTAGAGAGGCTGAGGCCAGGGAGGAGTGTGAGGTGGGCCAAAGAATTTGGGGCAGGAGGAAAAGTGTTCTGTTTAGTCTTTGGGGTCATACATCTTGAATTGAAACCTTGATTAAATGATTTGAGTCTTAGGCAAATTTCTTAATCTTTCTTGGTTTCCTCATCCATTAAATGAGGGTAAAAAGATGCTTCTGGCCTAGGGTCATAAAAGGATTAGCTGACAAGATGCTTGTAAAGCCCTTAACTCAGAGCCTGGCGCATAGAAAGGCTCAGTCCATGCTTGTCAGAATTAAGAGCAGATGGTAGTAACGGGCGCTCTTCTTGCCTGGAAATGGCTCTTTTCTCCTCTCTTCGACACTCACAGGAGGCTGGACTTAGTCTGTTGTTAGCACTGTTTCCCTTGAGCTCCCCTGACTACTCAGTTGGGGATACGGTATCACACAGGAATGCGGGCAAAGACCTCCCCCTGTCCCCAAACCTGCAGAGTACAGATCCCCCCTGACTCCTTGCTTCCAGTTGGTGGCAACACTTGCAACATCTAGAGAGCAACATTTGGATGATCCATGCTTTGGGTGAACCATTTCCTCTTCCTCGAACCCATTGCACTGGTCTGCTTGACCTTCCTACTGAGTATTGTTGCACGTCCCAACCCACCAGATGAACCTGTGTACACAGTGACATTCATGACCCTGGTTCTCAAAGCAAAGTTTACAAAGACCAGGTGCATCCTCAGAGCGTGCGGGCATATTAAATCGTATGATGACCTTTGCACCTCCGAGTGTTTATACAGGCAGAGTCTGGCCCGACTATGTAGTCTGGGGAGAAAAGAGGAGCTGGGGCAGCGGAAAGCAGGCATATGGAAGGCCTCAGTGTCTTGGTCTCTTCCCTGTCCTCAGATCCTCATACATGATGGTGGAGGAAGGGGTAGGGAGTGGGTAAAACAAAGCTCCTTCTCCATAGGTTCCAAGCATCCCACAGCTCCAGAATCTTCCCAACCCCTTTCCTGTTTCTGCAGACTTCATTTTGACCTAGACTAGGGCATGGAAGTGGGGCCATGAAACCTCAAATGGCAAACTTGGGCATCCCATTGGGACTTTTGTTGGCTGCTCTGATAGTCCTGGCAGTCTGTGCCAGATGGTGCGAGGAAGCGGGGTTTGGTGGGCTTCCTGGCCCCAAGCCTCACCTCAGCCTGCCTCCCCGGCTCTCTTTGTCCCACTCCCAGAGCATCACATCTCTTCTTGCCCACTTGCCTTGCTCTACCCTGCACTGCTTACGTTCATTACTGTCTCTTCTGTTAACTTCCCTGGCTCCTCCTAAACGGTCATTCCTGTTCTGTGTTCTCAGGACTCCCAACCCGACCTTGCTGCAGCTCCCTGGAGCTGCCTGACCCCAGAAGGATCTGGCCCACAGCGGGCTCTATGTACAAAGGGGAGAGTCTGAGGACAGCAGGGGAGGAGAGGCCCCTGGGGCTGGTGGCCTGACAGTGCTCTCGGCGTCCCCTCGCTGCCAGCTGCCCTGTCCCCTTTCTCATTCCTGCTCTAGAGGGACAGGTGCACTCACTGGGCTGGCTGTGAGAAGCGGCAGTGGTGAGGAGGAGAGTGAGGAGCAAGAGGGCAGCCGTGGAGACCGCCATCCTCCCCGCGGCGGCAGGTCACCTCGGGAGAGGGCTGAGCAGAGGGGTCCTCCTGGGGCTGGCTGTCCGCTCTCTGACCTCCCAGCTGTCTGGACTCTGACCACCTGAACGCTGGTAGAGGAGGAGAAACAACGGGCTTCCCTCCGTGTTTGCTGAAAGAGAGGGCGGTGGAGGGCGGGGCCTGGTGCCGAGCTGAAAGGGAGTGTGTGGCCAAGTGTGCACTGCCCAGTTTTACTTACTCCTCACCATGCTGAGGTGGAGATTATTATTCTCATCTTACAAAAGAGACCACTGGGGCCTAGAGAGGTGAAATGAATTGTTCAAAGACACATAGGTAGGAGGCAGATAGGCAGTCCTGGAAACCAGACCCGTTTCATCACCCTGTTCCCTGCCACCATCTCCATGCTGGGGAAGGGGAGGAGGGCAGGGCCTCTCTGGTTCCCCCAGCTGATTGCTCTTGGGCAGGGTAAACGTAAAGCAAGATAAGAGAGCACAGACTGAGCCAAGGATAGGCCTTAGTGACCTCTGCAAAGGATGTCCCCCCAACCCCAGTCCAAGGACACATGACTGAGTTCACGCTCTTTCATGTCACAGGTTATGTTACTAATACTTTGAAAAAACGATGTGCCTGATCCTTGGGTCCCCATTCGTTGCTGAGGTGTTTGGCTTATTTGGTGACGCTCTCATCGGGCCCTTTGGATATTGGACTCTGAACCAAGTTCAGGTTTAGTTGGCTGATCCCTCCCTGCAGGATGGGTTTATCCAACCTGCCCCCATGGCCAGTCACCGCCAACAGAGGGCGCTCCACCGCTGTGGGCCTGACAGCCTGTTCTGGTTCCCAGAGTTCGGCTTCTGCCCTCTGGCCTTGGCCAGGGCTGCAACGGCCCCTTAGCACCAGGTCTAAGGTGGTGAAGCTGTAGCTTTTTATGAGGGTGGGGAGGGCATGGATGTGGGGTGCCCTGCTGACCTTTGTTTATGGAGGAGAGAAAGTGTGAGGAAGCCCGGTTGTAACTTTAGTGTGTGGGCTTCCTCTTGGACCTGGTCTGTGGAAGGCTGGAGGCAAGGGGAGGGTGGCCTTAGTGTCTATACTGGCTGTGCTGTCCCTCTGAGTACACAGAGCTCCTCCTTGAACCCTGAGGATGGGTCCGAGAGCCACTGGGAACAGCTGGGTGTTATTCCTGGAGCATTGGCCTCCTCCTTATTCCTGCCTCATTCCGTATGTCCGTCCATCCATCCATCCATCCATCCATCCATCCATCCATCCATCCATCCATCCATCCATCCATTTCCTGAGCACCTGGTATGGGCCAGGCTTTTTGCTAGACTTTGTGAGAACACAAAAGTGAATAAAACAATATAGTACAACCTGACATGTGTAAGTGGAGGGGGACAGATTGGATAAAACATGCCCGGGAGTCACTCTCACCCCAGGTGCTGGGAACAAAGCCTTGGGAGCTGCACAGAAAAAGAGTGATGGAGTTTGACTGCTACGGAGAGGTCTTTGAGGAGGTTTGCCTGCAAAAGCAGGTGGCAGTTCTTAGCTTTACACTTGGGAAGAGTCAGTGAAACATGTGCTGCTTAGCAGAGTGCTTGGGATATAGAAAGTGCTAAGAAAATGGTATCTGTTACTATTGTAGTTATTGTTGTGTAAAGTGGCCTTTACACTGAGCGTCTTTCTCACTTTCTGCTAGGCTTCCCGTTACCCTGGTCGCAGGCCTGACCTATGTTTTCGCACCAGCCTCTGGCCAGACTTCTGCAAAAGAAGGCTTGATGCTGAGGTGCAACCCTGGGCCCAGCTCCCCAGGGTCCTCAGTCCCCTGGTAAATGCAGTAGAAATGAATGAAGGCAGGGAGGGACATGGATGGCCTTTAATTCAGGGCTGGGTAGTGTCCCATGGGAGTCGGGGATGAGTCGGGTTATTAGCCTCTTCTCTCAGATTTCCAGCTCTGTCCTCTCTACTGCTTCTGGGCCTCTCCTTTCCCCTCCAGGTCCTGATGTAATCCTGGACCCAGTTATCACTGGGCTTGGCACAGACAGAATAGCCCTTTATGGTGATGAAGCTGTGGAGCAAGAGGGAGAAGGATCACAAACCTGGGGTCTAGCAGCTAGGAAGTGAAAGCCTGTCCTCTCGCCCTCACAGGTTCCTCGCCCATCTGCACTGTCTCCTTCCTTTGCTAGAGGCCTCAGGGCCCCTTGACCCTTCTAGCCTTGGTGTTCCACCCCTCCCCCGGAAAGTGCCCCATGCCTTCTCCCCCCTCCCCTAATGCCTACCCCGCCATGGGGTCAGCTTCTTCCTGGCCCCTGGGGGCCCCAGCCGGCCAAAAGCCCTCAGGTTGCCCCTTGGCTGCCTCTTTCCCTATCCGCACACCTGTGCCCTGGGGAGGTCCCCACACCGGGTTCCTCCCAGGCCACCACGACTGCCCCAGGCCCTGCTGGCTTCCCCCCACACAGCATAGTTGTAGTGCCACCTACATAATTCCGGGCTTGGGACACCGGCTGCTGGTCTCATAATAATCTTTAATCTGGTGACGCAGGATTGCTCGGGTAACATAGGTGAAGCAGCAGTTGGCAGGGTGGTGAGGTCCTCCTGAGGAGACAGTGTGGAGGGGAGCTGAGATCCAGGCCTTATGGGGGCAGTACCTGGAGACAGGGCTGTGGAGAAGCTCGGTCCTCTGGCTCCTCTTTCCCTTCTCCCCCTGCAATCACCCTCCTTCCTGTTCTTCAACCCCTCCTAGAAAGGCTGGCTGACGACTTTCATCAGGATGGAGAGCCAGGTAGCCCAGGTCTTCTCAGTGAGCACACACCATCCCTGTGGGGCAGACTCAGAGATGCTCCAAACAGGAGGAATATTTGGAGGAAATTCCAATAAGGACTGGGATCCATGCCATTTGGGAATGCATGTCCCCTCCCCATCCCCCCATGCTGCCCGTGTCCTCTTTGGATCCATGTCTTGCAGAAAGGGAAGGATGCCCATCCTAAGGGCCAAGGTCAATGGCCAGGGAGTCAGGACACCCAGGTTCTAACCCCTCTCACCTTTGCTGGCTTTGTGCCTGTGACCTTATGCCCCTCTCGGTTTCCCAATCTGCCCATGGGGTCACTGGACTGGGTTGGGGGTTTTTACCTTGAACTTCTTGGGGCTCAGGGAGGTTCAGAGTCTGTCTCAGCACTGGTACATGTGAGAGTGGAGTCTTGGGTGTTCAATCTATGTAAGACTTTGCTTGAAGGAGAAGTTTGGTGATTTTAATTTATAAAAAAATCTCTGGATTAGGTGGTTTTTCAGTTATTTTCATTAGATTCTGGAATTTCATGTCTCTTATAGGAGGTGTAAGAGGTGTCAGTGAAATCATGCCCAGCTTGAATCCTAGAGGGAGCAGGAAGGGCTCTCAGAAGGAGGGCCCTGCAGAAAGAAACAAGGATGTGTCCTGTTGTGGAGTGATGGGGATGTGCACATTATGTGGCCGACCTGGACCAAAGCGTGAGTGTGCATCACGATGGCCTCAGAGGGCATCACTTGGGTGGAGAGTGCAAGACGTGGTCTTTTCTCCAGCGCCATGCTAGGAGCATCCTCACTGTCCCAGGAATGGAATGAGGGATCCCCTGGTCCTTGAGGCCCACTCCCACCATGTTCCTCTGAGCTGATGAACAACTTTTTAGAGAGGCAAACCAGACTGTCCAGATTACCATTAGCTTTAGGCTAGCCTTATTTTGACAACCCTCTTTGTTTCCCTCAGTTTATGCAAAGGAAATGAGGTAAAATTGAAGGGTGAGGAATCATTTCCGTTGTGTGTAAAAGTAGCTCATCCTAAGAAATAAGCTGAAACAAGGTGGCTTGTCTTGATCCCCCAACTCACACCTAAGCCCTGCTGTGCTCATGGGGTAGGGCTGACCCTGGAGGCGGGCCGGGCCCCCATCTCAGGAGGTAAATAGACAAAATGGCCTTGAGGGCTTCCAAACACTTCTCCTCAGCCTTCCTTGGGGTAAGGGGCGGGCCGTTCTTCTGCTTAACAGCAAAGAGAGATGGATTGTGGGAATGGAGGGGCAGGCTGGCCTCAATCCATTCCTTGGTGGGACGGGGAACTGGTCATGGGATGGGGGTAAGGATAAGACCAGTTCATGCAGCCACCAGCCTCCTTCTAGAGCCCCCTCCCCTTGCATCCCCAGCAACCTGCCTCCTACTTATTTCCCCACAGGGAGTGGATGGGCAAGAAGACACAGTGCTGCACTCACGTGGGGAGAGCTCCGTCTCGGACCACAGGGCCGCGGCGAGGTGGGGGGAGAGGAGGAGGAGGAGTGAGGAGGTGGCGGCGGCCTTGGGGACCTTCATCCTCCCGTCGGGCGAGCCGCTGCAGGAGGAGAGCTGGCCTGGCAGGGGCTCCTGAGGTTCTTGGGCTGAGGAAACATTGAGAAATGGTCATGGAGGGAAAATATTTTTTAAAATAAGGGAACTAAGATTTCAAAGGCAGTAGAAAGCAGCGGATGCCTCAGCAATTTCATATCCTGCACATTTGTTGAGGGTGGAGTGAAGAAAGTGTAGAGAGCCAAAATTTCAGGGAGGAAATTGCCTTCCATCCCCAGACGGAATCCATTTAACTCCTTTGATACAAGCCCTTCCTTAGGTGTAGACCGTGGGCACAGGCGCTGGGGAGCACGCCCTCAGACTTAGCAAAGATCTCAGGGCTGGGATGCGCCCTGTGCCTATTTCCAGTTCCAGGCCTAGACAAAGGCAGATGGGGACTGGAAATTCAGGATCTGTTTGTCTGGAGATCAGAGGAAACTTGGGTTATGGGGTGAGGTCTGGAGTATCCCGTGTCAGGTCTCACCAATCAGGGCTAGGAAATCCTCACTTAAACATTTAAGCAGAACCTTTGGCTCCCAGCCTCATGCCCATCCCTTCACCATACCCCGGGGTGAAGAAGCGCCATGATGCTCAGAAGATTATTTTGCAACATTGGGTAATGGTTTCCATATACACTAGCTACTGTCGCAAATGCTTTACGAATATGACCCCATTTAATCTTTATATATCAGCAGTTGAAGAGATTCAGACACAAATACCTTGCCCAAGCTTTTGGCAGTTGATAAGAGAAATCAGGGTTCAAACTCGTGCACTGCGGTTCAGTGGC